TGTTTTAATAGTGTTTTTATGAGCTAATACTTCAAATGAAACCATAAAAACTGAATAAGGTCACAGAATTTGTGATAATGTGCTGATTCCCTCTGGAATAATTTACATCTTCTAAACCTACCACTAAAAAAAAAAAAAAAAAAAAAGTAAGTAAATGTCTTATAAGAGTATAGGGTTAATTTTTAAATATTCAGATTTATGTAACTAAGGAGTATGAAAATAAACTACAAGTAAGTTGTAGAAAACACTTGCATCTGGGAACAAAATACTGTTTTTAAAGTTTTACTAAAAAGTATTTCCTGGGAAGTTATGTTGGGGTTCAGGGGAGGTCCCTCAGTTCCCCTGAGAGGACATTTCTCCAGTTCTTGGTCTCCTGCCATCTCAAGAATGAGAGAGGGGACCACGGCGCAGTGCCCAGTAAATGCTGGACTCAAAAGTGTTTGTAGAAAGTGATTTATTTAGAGAGAGAGAGAAAAAAACAGGAGAAGGAGAAGGAAAAGAAACAGCTAACTCTCACACTGAGTGAGAGAATCCAGAAAGATGGAATCCAGGAGAGGAAAGCAGCTTCCACACTGAGTGGAAGGGAATAGAGAGAGACGGAGTTTAGGAGGGGAAGACAGGCTTCCACAAGAGAGTGTGGAAGGGGACTCCAGAGGGAAATCCAGGAGAGAGAAAGATGGCTTCCACAAGGGAGTGTTCGAGGAAGGGGACCCAAACATGGAGTCCAAAGGACTGTAGAAGAAGGGGACTTTTAACCTGGGAAGAATCCCCACCTTCTCTAAGACGCAGGGCTAATGAAAGGAGTTCCTTAGAACTTCCGCTGGAGTGATTGACTTTTTGTTTCTTCCCGCACCCGCGAAATTTAAGCCGTTAAATTTCCCGGATGGAGAGAGATGGGAGGGGGGCATGGCGCTAAAACTACGCCCCCTTCTGGACCCGGAAAGAGAACACATTCCCTCAGTTACTCATTATAGCTTTCTATGCTAAAGAAAATTAATGGTATAGTTTATGCATTTTATTGAATTATTTAGGGTCAATAAACAAATACTCTTTTTAACATTTGGATTTAAACAGTGTGAAACTGTTGACTCTAATATAATCATTTAGCATTGTTAAAATTCCTATTGGTTTGAAAATATAAAAAAATATGAAGGTGATATATATTAAGAGTCATTTATTTGGAGATGGTACTGAGTAATCTCAGTGAAGTTTCCCACAAATGGATGGCCCAACTTTGCACACAAGAAATTCCACAGCAAACGAAAACTGTGAAATCAGTGGGGTTCAAGACTGTGCACACTACATATGTAGACTGCTTACAGTTGAAAAATGAAGTCTTAATACATGACAAATCCATATTCCATATCTACAGGAACCAGAACCAATAGACATTTTTTTGTTTGTTTCTAAACCATGTGAAATTGGTTATGTCTAGATTCAAGCCAAGTCTTTTTTTCTTGAGTGAGTCTCAGAATATATGGAGTCACTGAAATTTCTTTCTGACCAGACAGATGTATCTTTTTCAAACTTTGCCTATGCCCTCTTACTGAAATAAAGAGACTCCAGTGAGCAGAGTAACTGTTTGAGGTGCTATGATTCACCCCAACATGCACTGCTGTTGGACCCAATTAAGAGTAACTGAATTTGTTTTGTTAAAATCCCAAGGTTATCTCTCTTTGGCAGTTTCTTTTTACATATGTTGTTACAGAAGAAAATTTGTCAAATTCATACAGGTCATATGAAAGTTTGTCAGCCAGAATAACCAAGGATTCAAGCTTCTCAAAGTAGGAGGGGATTCCCTTCATAATAAGGTGTATCTGTTTGAGGCAAATATAAAACATTTATAAACAAAATTTCTACTCATATCTCTTTATCGAGTAATGAGAATGTTGAAGAATACAACATAAAAATAGAAGGAGAGAATAGATATAACTTGTAATTTTATGTCATACATGTTATTTTCTGATAAGGAATAGTTCATGAAATAAGAAGTAACACTGGAAACAGTCCAAATATTCATCAACTAGAAAATATTTAAACACAAGGTAGAATATTCTTGAAATGAAATACTACTAAGCAATAAAAATTAACCACTGATACCTGCCACAACATGGATAAGTTTTAAAAACATGCTAAGAGAAAGAAGTCAGACACAAAAGACCATTTACTGTAGGATTCTATTTATATGAAACATTCAGAAAAGGCAAACTTTTGGAGATAAAGCAGATTAATGGTTTCTAGGGGCTGAGGTAGAAGAGAAGATTAACTGTAAATGGACATGAGGAGTCTTTACGGGAGAATTGAGATGCTCTAAGATAGATTTGTGGTAATGATTGGACAACTCTGGAAATTTACTAAAAATGAAGTGTATACTTAAAATAGGTGAATTTTATTGTTTGTAAATTATACTTCAATAAAGCTGTTAATCAAGATAAATAAATTGATTGATAGATTAATAGATTTAGAGAGAAAAGATAAAATGTTGCTTATATTTTTCCAGGAAGTGATCTGAATATTTATAGATATTCATAAACGCAAATGTCAATTGTATGTATCTTATGTTTTTTTCTTCAGGTTTTATATCTCTTTAGCCATAAGCATTGTTTCATTTTAACAAGTTCTTTACTTAAATATTTATCTTCTGAAAGTAGAGGCAGCTGGAGAATATGAGTTCTAATTATGAGACTGTCAGTCATTAATTTTATAAACAAAATATTTATAGATGCCTAGTAGAGGTGTCCTAGTGAGACTTTTGATCTCTTATTCTGTGAACCTTCTGATATTAATTTTGTTTTTGCAGAAGAGGTGCCAGTTCACATTCCAATAATGAAGTCACCCTTGGACAAGATACAGCTGACTCCTGGGCAGGCATTGCCCGCTGGATTCCCTGGACCATTCATTTTTGCTGATAGTCTGTCCTCCGTGGAGACTCTGTTGACCAACATTCAGGTCAACAATATTTCTATAAACAAAATAAATGTAATACAAGACATTAGCACCTACATATATTATTTTATATTTGATAAGTTAAAACAGGTAAGATGAACTGCATGTCATGTCCTGTACTTTGACAGGGTCTACTGAAAGTGGCTTTGGATAATGCTCGCATCCAGGAGAAGCAGATACAACAAGAAAAGAAGGACCTGCGACTGGAGCTCTATAGAGAGAGAGAAATTAGAGAAAACCTTGAAAGACAACTTGCAGTTGAGCTTCAAAGCAGAAGTAAGTTTTACAAGTTCAATTATAGAGTGACTATTATTTTGGATGTATTTTCAACACTAATAGAAATATTCTTTGAAATATCTTGGAATTACTGAAAAAAAATGATATATGCCATCTCTCTTATACTAAAAGAAAATGAATTATGTCTGCACTTTGGGCCAGTTGTAGATTTGGAAACATGAATATTTTATTGTTATCTCACAATTTCATAAAGTTCACCTGAATATAGATAATCTAACAATTCCTTATATATGAAATGTTTACTCTTTGCCAGGCACAGTGTTAGATTTTGGGATTATAACATGAATTAAAAAAACAGTCCATGTTTTTTAGGGATTTATGTTTTAGAGAGCTAGTGCAACCGTTTACTTTTAAAACAAAGCGGCAAAAGCAATCATGCCCAGTCAACATGATTATACAGAGATTGGGTAGTTAGCTTAGTTTGCTGATGGTGGTTAAGGAAGCCTTCCTGATGCTAACACCTGAATCTAAATGTTGAAAAACCAGAAGGCAAAAACAAAAAAGCTTGTGAAAACCTGAGTGATTTGGGCATTCTAGGCAGAGGTATCGGTTAGCAAAGCCTTGAGCACAAGAAAGCTCACACATAGATAAATAAATACAATTTATTATAATGTCTTTGAGGTTTTTGAAGTGACTAGTGGGAGATGATGGAGAAAGTTGGGAGTAGAAGCTGAATTATGAAGGACAATTTTAACCATATAAAAGCTTGGACTTTATCCTGTAGGTGATGTGAAGCATTAAAAGATAAGCAGTGGAATGATCTGATTTGGTTTCAATTGGATTGATCGCTACCATATTGGGAATAGATTTGGGGAGTGCATGCAAAACTAGAGAAAAAAATATGCAAAAAGAGATTGCTGTCATCCGGGCAGTGGTGAAGAGGACTGAATTAGAGTAGCAGAAGTAAGGATGGAGACAAAAGGGAAAGAATGGAGAAATTCAGAATTGTTCACAAATAGGATTAACTTTCCAACTAGGGGTAGCCACTTGATTATCTACAGTAATGAATAAATGAGATTAGTTTATATCAAAAATCACAGAAAGTTAAAAACCTCACTTCAGTCAATACTTTCCACATCTTCCTTATATTTGTCATAAAATACGAAACGGCAGTACAGGTGGCATTTATGAATTTCAGCTTCTTTCCCTTCCCTGCTTACTCTTCTGTGGAAGGGTCACAAAGCCTAAAATTAGGAAAGAGTGAGAGTGGAAAAGACAGGAAAAGAAAGGAAGTGAAAATCCATAATCTAGATATAACTTCCTGAACAAAGAAAGATGACTACAGTTGCATGAAATCTACTAACTTTATACTAATTGAAAGTAGCATGTTTTACTAAGAAATTTGTTTTATAAGATGGAAAACATACTATATATGTTCCTTAGGGCCTAGGAATCATTGGTTTCATTCAAAATGGAAACTTAGCCTTTGGATTTAAAAATAATTAAACCTGTTTTGCTTAACTTGTCAGATTCATTAAATACTACAAAGCAAAGACTAAATGATCTTTTTAAGCTTTGGAGAAATTGATATATTTCTGATATTTGGTATGGAAAATAGACTACTATGATTAACAGTCATAATTTACATTTCTTTAGTTGAGAGTTTCTTTAATGCTAAAAATCCAAAAAATTATATGTTAAATATAAAAAGATTCTTAAATTGCCTTATGAAAATTTGCTATATACGGTAAAATTGGCTTGTAACTTTTAGGGATCTATTTACTTTGATTTCTGTTCACCGACTTTTTATAGACCCATCAGGTCTGTATTTATAATTCATATCTATTATACTTTAAAAATTCTTTAGACATGGTAGGTATAATATTGTATCTATTGTCAAATTTTCTGGGAAGTATTTGTATTTCATAAATTTAGCGTTTGTCGTAATATAATCATAACGATACCACGAATACTATTACTATCATTATTACTTCTACTGTTATTATCATGACTACTAATACTACTAGGGTTAATGCTTATCAAGTGTCTAATATGTAGCCCAGCACTTTTTTCAGCATTTGATATGTAATGACCATCATAATTATGGAAAAGTACTGTTATCTTTATTGATTTATAAAAACTATGTACTTAATCTCTCTGAATTTCAGTATTCTCCCGATTACAATAGTTGTTCTAGATAATTATTAAAGTTTCTTTATACTTCCTTAAAGATCTCACACCCAGTATACCCAACTTTTTATGACAAAGAGTTTACTCTTTACCTAAAGTCACATGATGGAAAAGACAGAGGAGAAATTGATATTATGATTGTAAAGTAACATCTTTCCAAAAATATAGTAAAAATACTGTGTTCGTCTGTGTGTGTGTGATATGTATGTATATTATTTATATTATTATATATGAAAAATATATGTAACTACATATATAAAAATACAGATAACTACATATAAAACTATATATGCATTAAAATAATTCCTATAACTTGTTTATTCCAATTGAAGAAAGCAATGTTCCACACTTAGAAAAAATTTCTACCTAATTCCCTTTTGGTTGCTAGTCAGACTGTGTTACTTGGATTAAACACACTTATACATATACAATAATACCCTTTGCAGATTAAACACTTAAAATCATACAATAATATAGCTACAAGAAACCTTGGAGGTCACCTACCGTGGTCCCCCGGCCAACTGTATGGTCCTTAGGCTTTGGAACAACTACCTATGTGATCTTTGGTCTTCATGCTTTGAAAACTAGTAGCTATGTTGTCTTGGGTAAATTTCTTGATCTGTCAAGGACTCAGGTTCCTCATCTATAAAATTGAGATAAAAGTGTTTTTCTTACTTGAAAGTTTGTTGTTTACATGACTGGCAGCACAGTAGATTTATTTACACCAGCATCACCACATACCCACTAGTAATGCATTGCACTAGGACATTAGGATGATTACAATGTCACTAGGTGATAGGGATTTTCATCTCCATTATAATCTTATGGAACCACCATTGTATATGCGATCCATCATTGACTGAAAAATCATTATGCAGCCTATGACTGTATAAGAATATCTCTTTAAGAGAATTAGAAAATGTTTAATGAATCATTAAATGCATATAGAGAGTCAAAGTAGAAGACAATTCTTCACCACCACTGCCACCATCATACAAATGCACGTGTATTACAGAACGTACAGTCTGGAAATATGAAAATAGAAAGAAGTCAGTTGTGTGATTGAACTACAGTAAATAAAGTATTCTTTAAATGAACCTAATAAAAATTAGGACAAAAAGAATGCTGATTATATGTCAAGTGAAACATTTCCATATCTCTCTGTGTCTATACCTGTATCTGTGGTTTATAATTCACCAAAACTGGCATCCCTATTTCATTGATCAAGTCTTTGCAAACTACATTTTTACATTTCAGCTACCATGCAAAAGCGCCTGAAGAAGGAGAAAAAAACCAAGAGAAAACTGCAGGAAGCCTTGGAATTTGAATCAAAGCGCCGGGAGCAAGTGGAGCAAGCACTTAAGCAAACCACCACTAGTGACAGTGGCCTGAGGATGTTAAAAGGTAACATCTGATTTGGACTTTCACACTCAAGGTAAACAAAGCAAAAATGATTTAAGAAAAATAGAAGAAGAAAAAAAGAAAGAGGAAGGCAGGAAGAAAGGAAGGGAGAGAGGGAAACATACATATTTTGACCAGGAGTGATTAAAAATCAATTTGAGGCCAAGTGTTTTAGATTATGAATTAAACCCAGTCAAAATAATCAGTTTGGGAGATACAAATAGCCTTAGAATAACAAGAAATCCTACTGACTTTTGCAATAGAAGCAATTACGCTTATAACCACCCTGCACCTAAAGTATAACTGCATTAGGTCAACTCATATTAGAATATGCTGATGTTTAGCAAACTGTATTTTGATTATCTATACAATGCTTGTTCCTTTAATGCAGATTGCATCAGTGTTGCCATGCTTAAGAACTACTGGGCTGAAGAAACATGTTCTAAGTAAATCCCTGCAGATTCTGTAAAAGGAGGTGCTTGAATTATGAAATCCCTTAATTCCAAACTTTTCTGATTCCATTTTTAATTCTGAGGCCACATAACATTGTTTCATCTCACTCAAGCCCAATTTCAAGTAAATATGTACACATACAAACAGAACCTTTTTACATCAGAATTATTAGCTTTTACCTGAAAAGCACAACCATAAAACATTTGCCCCTAAAACCAGTACTACATAAAGACCACAAACCATAATGAGTATTTTGGTATTCACTTTTACTTACTATATATAATATATAAATTTGTACACATATATGGTGTATACATTTTTTTTTTTTTCTATATTTATTATATACATATACTATATATATATACTATCTATGATATACATAT